ATGGTGGCTCGATAGGGTTTTTCAGGGTCAATTCGCTATTAACAACGATTTGGAAAAATTACCACCACAGCAGTTAGTATTAGATAAAGATGAAAATTTGTTATGATCAGCGTTGCAATGACATCGGAGTTGTTATAGTAATGAAATGACGCTTTAATTATTACCTTTTTAACTTTCAGCCGTATTTCTCGGCACTGCAACTGTTCTTTAAAAATCGTTCACTTGAGCTTTTTCCTCCAATAGTCGCCTCGATGTTCGTGAATTTTAAGCGACATATATAAGAGCGTTTTTCGAAATATTTTGGGATGAATAGAAACCGGTGAAAACTGGACAATCTTGATGGTCGGCTGTTATCTCCACAAAACGATCGAAGCGCTTTTGAAATGCAATTTCAACTCAGCGTAGTCTCAGTCCCTTTGAAGACTTGTGTGAAAGATCATGGGAATGCCATAGCTCTAGAAAAAAAGATCTGATTAGTCTGTATCGAGGAGCTCTTGTTATATTGGTCCGGTTTTGTAAAAAGTTTAGCCTACTTTAACAAACAAGCAAACAATTTTGAAACCACTCAATAGCGTTTTTCTTTTTTTAATTTGAGATTCTCGAGATTAACCGTCGTTTTATATTACCTTTGAGCTAATGGCGTCATTTCATTGCTATTACAACTCCGATGTCATTGCAACCTTGATCATAACAAATTTTCATCTTTATCTAATACAGGTGTGGTGGTAATTTTTCCAAATCTTTGATAATGGCGGCGTAGCTTATGCTCAAACTTGGGAGGTATTGACCCTGAAAAACCCTATCGAACCACCTTAAAACGGATAAAGAAATATGTAGATAAAAACAAATTATATGCCTTGGACTACATCTAGTAGGTGTGACGTACTAGTAAGCAGCAATAGTAATTATAGTGTGTATACAGTCGACTCCCGATGACTCGAACCCTCGCTAACTCGAACCTCGCGCTAACTCGAACCAAAACCGATTTCCCCTGGATTTCCGTCATACATTCACAGTAATTTTAACCTCGGTAACTCGAACCCTCGATAACTCGAACTCCCGCTAACTCGAACCAATTTTTGTTTCCCCTCAGGTCATTTTTCTATATAATTTTACCGTCGAGAACTCGAACCATGTTTAGAGCCCTTAAAAAGTCGGGAAAAAATCCGTCTACGGACGTCCGAAACATTAAATTTTAGATTTCCTATTGACGTGTTGTAGGAGTATAGTTTACTAGTGGAGGCTATACAGGCTAACGTGAAGCAGCTTTTCTTCTCAAAACAGTAAAATGCTATATAGGCTATAGGATATATATAGGCTATGTTTTGTTACGTTACGTTCTATTTTATAATCTAGAACTATCTTTTAATTTTCACTTGACATTTCTACAATTAAATGTGATTAAAACGTTTACAGTGCAGTAAAAACTGTTTTTTATTTTACCCTCGGCTATTTTCTTCGAAGTCCCGATAACTCGATCCTTTTTTCGATTTCCCTAGAAGGTTCGAGTTATCGGGAGTCGACTGTAGTACGTATAATAGTAATATATACTACCAAGAGAGGATAAAGGGGACAGAGAAGGCATCCCCCATACACACCCTATTCCATAGGTAATTCGTCTCGAGTTATTTTTAAAACCACAGATCCCAAGGGGGATTAGATAACAGCCGATCACATAGCGCGAATGTGTTCCGCGTGAATGACCCATGCTCAGAGCCACGCGTCCTTCACGAATTGACGCAGAAAAAATGGCGGAAGACGCGGAGAGCGATATTGCTATTCGTTTTGTCGACGAAAACGACTAAAGAGAGATTTCTACTAAAGCGGAGTCAGCGAAATGGAAATTAAAAAAGAATCACCCTTCCTCTCTTGTATAGAGCTGACAGTACAGCAGGGAAATCCTTAACACACCGAATATTCTCTCAGGATCATTTATAATTTACAGTGTGAAGAGAGCAATTTGTGGTTTGATATTTATTCTTTTATTAGTCTTTTATTCTTCAACAAAAATAACACTTGACGTCCTCCTTGCTTTATTGTACAAACGACCGGTTTCAATAGACCGGCGAAATTTCTCATTTTATCAAAGCACTGAGGTTACGACAACTTCGAGTTAAACTGATTTCACGGGTTGTCAAAGAGTCCAGCGATTCCCTTTTCCCAGGTGAGCGCCGACTCATTTCGCTTCAATATTCAGAAGTGCTCTCGATCTCTTTACGCTTTCATTGCCTTTCGCCCGACATGTTTTGCACGGCGTTTAGTCATACGAAACCTCCACGAAACATCCACGCGGCGCGCGAGGTAACCTTATCCCGATTCTAAAAATAACTCGAGACGAATTACCTATAGAATAGGGTGTGTATGGGGGATGCCTTCTCTGTCCCCTTTATCCTCTCTTGATACTACTTATTTCACATCACTTACACGAACGGGCGTATGCACGCACGTACCTACGGGCGATTTTTTCACAAACAATATTTCTTAGTACATAGCTGATAACCAAAATTGTATTATTCAAGGTGCTTCGCGCAGGAGCTCTGCTATAACATTACCTCAAGGGAAGATGAATTAAGTCCCCCACTATAATCATCGGACAGTATTTATGAAGGAACGGTTGAAGACGGAGTTTAATATTATGTCTTACCATTGGTCTCTCGTTTTTGTTTTCAAGATTGAAAGAAACAAATTGCTATGGCATACG